CACCGCCATCCCCAGCTGGTGCTGAGGGGCCAGGACATCGTCTTCTCCAGAAGAAGAACAAAAAGCGAAAACCAGTACGGCGTGCAGAGGGCTGGCTTTGCTCTCCCTGCGCTCCCCCGGCCCCTCACGGGTGGCCCCGATGCAGGGGACAGTTTGGGGTTGGGATGAGCTCTAGCAAGCGTGGGGACTAAAAGCACCTTCAGCCCAGGACACGGCCATTGCTGGCTGTATTTGGGGACAGTGAGGATGCTCGGTCACGTTGAGTCCTGCCGGCTGACCCTGGAGGCGCACTGGGATGGACACAGCCAGGGATGGAGGTCTGCTTTGCCTTCGCCCAGGCAATGGTCCTGGCCACAGCTGAGGATTAAGCGAGGGTGAAGACCGACCCTCCTTTGGTGGAGGAGGAACGTATCCGAAGGGGTTGGAGCTATGAATATGGCAGGGAAAACAAAAAAAATAAAATATGCCACACTGTGCCTGCCAGCATTGAACACAGCCCCTTAACTCATGGTGAAGTCTCCAGTGTCTTCATGCCTTGAGGTTGAGTGCAGAAACCATGTTTTTAAATAACTATTTCAATTATTGATTGGTGTGAATTTTTTTTTTTGGGGGGGGGGAACCAAAAAGAAGTAGCCCAGTTCAAAAATAGTAGGGATTAGTGTAAATCCCAATGTCTCTTCAGCTATACACTGGAATGCATTATACTACTTTAATGTGCTGTATTTTTTATTATTGGATACATTTGATTTTTCAAGTACATCTCTATATATAAATATATAAAATAATGTGCACTGTAATAAAAGCTGAATTTAAACCTTTGGTGCAGCAGTGAGAGTCCCTCGTGGCACAGAGGCACGTGCTCCGGCTCTGCCCGCCTGTTCCCCACCCCAGGAGAGGGGGTGTCCCTGGGGACCTGGGACCAGCTGGAGCCCCCACACCCCAAATGGAGTTATTCTTCAGTGCTCACCAGTACCTGATGCTCCCAAAGCGTTGCTCATGCTGGGGAAAGCACTTAGAGCAGCCCCGTGGGAGGCTGGTTATTTTTTACACCAGCACCACAGAACCTTCAGCAGTTATTAAAAAAAGAAAGGTTGGTTAGATCTTTCCTCGGCAGGGAGTGAGGAAGGTGCTTGGGCACCTGTACACCCGAGGGTGTAATTGTGGAACAGTTGTCTTTCTTACCAAATATGTTGCTTTTTTAATACCCTTACCCAGCTTAGCAAAGAGCTGCCTGCTTGATGCCTGCTGGAGTTACCTGCAAGCCCTGAGTGTGCAGCGGAGGTTGAAATGCAGAGAGGGCAAAGTCCTGCTGGTGGGTGGGGAATAAGTGAAGTCAGGTCCGAGTCACAGTCATTAAAGTCAACACCACAGACATTAGCATCTGGACTAGTCAGGCTTTGGACAAGTTCACCCATCCTTTCAAGTTCGTTTTAATCGCAGCAGCTTTTCCCATGCAACCCACTCCCCCAACCCTCGGATGTTCTCACATCCCGTCCCCAAGCACCTTTGACAATTACAGATGATTTCTACTGCGAAAAGGAATTTATTTTTTGTGTACCCATGGTGTGATCCTTGAACATAGAGCATTACAGCAGGAGGGAGGAGTGATGACAGCGTATGGATCGACCCATGCTCCGGAAGGCAGAGGTTTTAGGGCAGACAGTGCTACACAACCCGGCTGTGAAGCCCACCAGCAGGGGCAGAGGCTGCGCAGCATTTGCTCTCTAGCAGGGACATCAGCTCTGAAGGGGTGCCAGCCCTCCCTCCACAGGTGAGCACAGAGCCAGGCAGATACTCCACCTCCATGCCATGCAACTCCCTCTTCTCTGCCGAGGGTGAACGCTGGGCTTTGGGAGAGTCACAGCCCCGCTCGCCAGGCACTGAGCATCTGGAGGGGCTGCCCCAGCACTGCCATCCACGCGTGGGGCAGCAGGAAATGTGCCAGCAGCCCGGCCACTGCCAGCCCCAGCAGCAGCCAGAGCAGCCGGGCGCTGGCGTACAGCGGCCCCAACCTGCACGGGGAGAAGATGCTGTCAGACACTGCCAGCCGACCCGGGCACGAAGCGTGCTGGCAAGGGCTTGGCATCCCCCATCCTCCTCTGAAACTGTGCTGGGCAAGCGCTGGAGGAGAAGAGCGTGATGCAAACCCGCCTTCAGTTCCACCTGCAGGAGGGAAACCTGCCCCGAGGGACACATCCTGCACCCAGCCTCCCTGGGGTGGTTGGGGTGACCGCAGCCCCGGCAGGGTACTGACCGTTCCTGCGCAGCCGTGGCGTATCCCTGGAAGTACCTGAGGCGGGTGTAGAGGTACAGCAGCCCACACACTGCGGCCACACCTGCGGGGAGAGGGGAGACGAGTGAGTGGGGGGTCCCCAGCCACTGCCAGAGCTGCAGCCCAGCTCCATCACCCCCGTCCCTGCCTCCCCCTGCACGGCCACGAGAACCAAACGCAGAGGAACTCAGCTTTGAAACACTGGGGGGGGTTTAAATGGGTTTTTTCCTTCCCTTTTTGTGAAGGGTGAACTTCTCTGCCCCACTCAAGTTGCCCTGGGACGTGGGTTTGCAGGGCTCCCTTCCTCCCTGTTCCTTCCTTGTGTCTTCCCCGCGGTGGCAGCCGCATCCCCTGAACCCGCTTGGTAAGGGATGGATGGTGGATGACTAATTGTTTGGGTGACGTTTTCTTAATCTGACGTAGGGATTTGGGTATCGTGTTGCAGCTCAGCTTCAGCTTCAACTTTGCTTTCCCCGAGTAACAGCCTCACGGGTACAGGGAGGATGTGCCTGAGTTGCGACGGGATTTAAACTGGTTTATTTTTGTTGTTTTGTGCATGTGGGTTGGGTTGGGCTGAGTTGGTCCGTCCCCCCCCAACCTCCTTACCTTGATGGAAGAAGATTCCAGCAACCCAGAGGAGCGAGATGAAGATGGGGAAGTACTCTGAGCAATTTGCCCTGGTGAGAATGGGAGATGAGAGTTAAAATCACATCCTCCTAAGTCAGAGAGTGGGTAACCGAGGCCGGAGACGTGAGCTGGAAATGCACATCGGAGCAAACGGAAAGGGCCGAGAAGAGGCACTGCTGTGGAGAAAGGGCTTTGTCTGCAACCAAGGACACACAGCATCTCTATTTTAGAGAAGAAGAGCACCCAAACAACACACAGCCTTCGCCTCACCCACGTTCACACCGACCCTGCCATGACGAGCCGTGGCCGAGATGGAGATGTGTCCTTGGCTCTGCGCAGGTGCCTTCAGAAACATCGGCGGCAACTGCAGCCTAAAAGCTGCACGGGTGCAAGTGCCTTGATTTGATTTAAGGAGAGTTTTCTTCCCCTTGGGTGAGCACAGCTCAAATTGGGGTGTCACACAAGTCACACTACGAGAAGAAGCTTTCTCCTGGATTTAATTCAGGAGAAGGTGATCAGATCTGCAGCCAAGTTTTCTTCCTTTTTCTTTTAGTGACAAAAATACGGATTTTCTGCAAGAAAGAATGGTGGGAGCTGTACCATTAAAGCCAATGGGTTTGTTTATTGATTTCTCCTACATTTTACCATTCTCTAGACAATTTAATCTTAAATTTGGCCAAATATTTACCAAGCATCAGGGAACAGAGGCAGATTGGGAGCTGGTAAAAGTCTGAAGAGCCTTACGCTGCAAATGCAGTTTGAGCCTCAGCAAGGGGACGCTGCCAGCTTTCCACGAGTGAGTAATGAATCAATACCTTTTTTCTTCTTTTTTTTTTTTTTTAATATATCAAACCAAATTATCCATTTGTATCCTCTTCCACAGGGAAAAGAATAAAGGGAGGAAAAAGTCCACAATGAAGAAATAGCTTCTCAAACCCAAGTTCCCTGTGGTCGCCTCCTCCACAGAATACAGCGGAGGGCTTCCCGGCATGCCGCAGCACGGCTCGGTTAACGCACAGCCCGGCGTTTAATTAAAAGCCGCATCAGCAGCTGCCCAGCTAGCAAAGGCTGATGCCTCCCGTGCGGGCTGGCCTTTCACTGCATGGCAAAAGGACCGAAGCGGGTTGTTTTGTCACTCCACAAATGTTTCCTGCACGCTGGCAGGGGAACGCAGCTGCTTTGTTCGGGATTTAGTGCCGTGCGCGAACTACCCTTCAAAGCAGCTCCGGCGATTCCCTTCAATCGCTGATGAAACAGCACGGCTGGGAGGAAGGACAGGGTCTGATGCTTGCTGGAAGCCAAAGGGATCGGTGAACGTTTCCAGTTTAGCTCCAGCATTGCTTTCTCCATAGGAACAGAGCAGAAAGAAACAGCCCTCGGCTTGGGCCCGCAAGTGCCGACTTTCAGAGTACAACAGCTTAGAAAAAGGAAAAAATGGGAATGTCCTCATAGCTGGTTCTGCCAGCAAAGCCCTTTGCTTCAATCCAGCAGCAAAAACATACAAGCAAATACTAGTTTATTACTATAGCTTCAGATCCTGTCACAATTTAGAGGCAACATTAATATTAAACTTAATGACTATGGTGCATTAATGCTCAGCACCTCTTCCATACAGCCGCTAATTTGTAATCTGGCTGCCTCCCACGATGCCAGGAGGAGGATTCTCGTGGAGGGACAGAAACTCTGGAGCCAGAGCAAAGTGCTCCAAATCAGAACTCAGACATCTGCACGCCAAGCATTAAAAAAAGCAAACTAATAGCAGCAGCAATAAGTGAAAGGTGACTTGAGGGTGACTTCAGTCTTTCCTGGCAGTGACATTTGACTCAAGTCATACCTAGATGGAGTCACCACAAAAAAGTCAAAAACTTACTGAGCTCTGAAGATGCGCTCGAATTCCGGGTGACCTGTTGTCTGAGGAGGGGAGATCTTGTACTTCCGCCGGGCGTAGATCACCTGCAGCGCAAAATAGGCTAAAAAAGGAACAAAACAGGAACAGTAACAGTCCATCAGCATTGCATTCAGCCAAGCCTTATCTAGCATGGAATCAAGCAAGTGGTTAGAGGAAAAGAGCCGATACTGTCTCGGTTCATAGTCCAGGGCTGTCACACACGACCTGGAATAAATACACCATTTATTTCACGCTGGTACTTTACATCCAGATTTGGTTATCCTGGCAGAGCACCGGTGCCACGGAGCCAAGGTGCTGGCTGGCGCTTTGCAGTCTCCCGCAGAGAGCCCTGGGTGCTGCTCCCCAGCAGATGGACACACCCAGTCCTGGGGCGAGGCCAGCAACGCACCCCAAAACCTGCCCGAGTCCGCACCCCATCACTGAACTGTTATTCTTTCTTAATCTTGGGCTCTGTATTAGTACTTCCAGCCAGTCTGATGGGAATGGCGTACAACACTTCCTGCCACACCCAGCAGGCACAAGGATGGCCTCATGTCACAGAGCAGCATCCAAACTGGGAAGCACTGGGATATCATCAACAGATCGTTAGAGATGCTCACAATCATGGCAATGGAAAGACAAGGGGGTGATTGCTTCCTCCGCTTCATCCCTGCAGGGTGCCCCCAAGGCTCGAGCAGTTCCAGGAGCAGCCGCGCTGCCCGTGAGCACTATCAGCCTGTGCCAAATTTGGGCTGAGGTGCTAACTCGTGTCTGCTGCATCGCTCCTTTGTACATTTGTAAGGGACATGGAAAGTCACTTCATAACAATGAAAATGTGTTAACATGAAGATTGGGCTGTTTCACTGTTTGATGAGAGCTCTTACTCCCACAGGTGATTGCCGATGTTTCAAGTGTTTATATTCAGGTGCTACGACACTGTTGCCTTCACTGAAAATGAGAATTTTCATCGAGGAGAAAACTAGATTATAAAAACAATGACTTTGGTGGCTGTGGCAGCGTGCTGCTCAGCGAGTCACTTCGATTAGCGAGGTACTAACGCAGCAACATTTCCAGAGCACTGAACAGAGAGACGAGGAGCCAGGCTGCGAGGACTGCCTTGTCCACTGTCTTATTCCAACAAAGATGATAAAAGCAGAACAGCAGGATAGAGAAAGGAAAGTAGGGACAGATGTTGCAAGCTTAAAGCCAAGACAGATCCATGCATGCCTGCAGAAAAGCATCAGAACATATGTAGAAGAAAAGGGAATTAGAAATGTAAATAACCTGATGGTATGTGACCTGTGCATTACACAAGATATTATTCATTTAAATACACAGACACTCGAGGAAACATCCGTGTGTTCTGCTGTCTCCCGCGGTGTGTGCAGTGACCCAGCCCTAAACGAGAGGTGCCCAGACAGAAAGGTGGGGAGGCACAGGTATGCTTCTCCCCCCCCACCCCGTTTGTTCATAGCATATTGATTATGGTCGAGGGTCAGGATATCATCCTGTCCCTAAGATCCGGCGGGATGCAACACAGCATCCATTCCCCCCGTGAAACCAGGCAGCTGGGTCTGCACTAACACACAACAAGAGATTCAACAGCAGCTCAGAGAGCTCTGGGAAAAAGATGATGAAAGCATGACCCATCCTGTTACCCCCTCACATCAGATAAGCACGTCTCTCCTACGCAATGTTTAATGCTCTCAGGGTCTCATCCCTGCCACCTCTCGAGAAATGGACTGAGCTAAAGCTACTGCATCATACACAGCTCCGGCTTGTGCCATAAACCCGGGTCTAGTGGGCAACAGTCTTCATCCTGCTTTGTGCCATCTGCCCTCTAACACAGCGTTCTTGTGGCTGGTGGGCACAGTAAGAGCAATTTCAGACCCAGCCTCTCCATCAGCTTGATGTTTGGCATCTTGCTTGTATACAGGGGCAAATATATAGACAAGTCCTGCAACAGACATATATATAAAACAACCCCCCCAAGGAGCAAGAGCCCTTCGGAGGATGCCTGGCCCTTCCCCAAACCCAGTGTGGGTGAAGCATTAAGGATGAAGAAACATCAAGGATGAAGAAACATCCTCCAAAAGCAGTTCTCAGAATGAGGTGTTGAAGAAAACCGCCCTGCATCGGCCTTCTCAGCAGGGACTTTCAGGGAGAAGAGTTCCATCTACTCTGCAGAACCTCTCAAACGAGGCTTTTGTGACTCAGGCCTCAAGGTTAAACAGCTGTGTGGGTTCCCAGATGGCTCACGGGGACTGAGCTCTCCCTGCACGTCACTCCTCTGGGGAACGATCAGCCAGCCCTTCCTTCTCTATTTGGTTATGTCCACAAACCGGCCAAACCGTATCCTGGCTGGTATCTGCCACATTGGAGTGAACCTGGCAAACAAGCTCTGTGGGGACAGACAGACAATGACATTGCATAAGCTTTATTTCCTTTGAAGCCATAAAAATAGAGGAGGGGAGGAAAAAAGCACCGGTGGCAGCATTGTTCTGCTCTCTGGGACAGCGCTCAACCCAGGCAGGGGCATGGATGTGCAGAGGACCAAGCTCAAGAGCGTTGCTAAACTGAGCATAGTGAAATGAGAAAAGGGAAAGTTACTTGAAAGAATGCAGAAGCTGTGGGCTAGCAGAAAATTAAGAAGAAAATAAAAATGAACCGACACTGTACTAAGCTCGGCCGTTGAATCGTGTCTCCTCCATCAGGATGACACAGAGGAGCACTTGTCCGGGTGTGCACGTGGGTGTTCCTGAATGTCGGCTGAGAACAAAGCTCAGGTCTGTAACTCACCTACAGAATGTCCTGTCAAAATACACAGGAAAGGGACCGCCCAGCTCGAATCAGGGTGACATGAGCACACACATTTTGTACTAGTAGATAGAAAGGAAACCTGTAGTATTTTATAATTGCTCCTTGGCTTCCCATACAGGGACCATAAAACGAGGCTACTTCATCCCATCTAATGTAGATGAGAAGATGCCAATGCTTATTATTTATCTGCTGGCTTCACACCTATGTATGGTTTGCATAGCATGAAAGTAAAACATCTGAGGCTGCAACCTTTAAAAAAAAAATACTTGGAGTTATCATAAAACAAAAATATTTGAGACAAAATTGCTATCTAGGGCTTGGCTACTGAGGGTTTTCCCAATGCCAAGGGCTTAGCAATCCTTCCATAACCCGATTTCAGGTTTTCTTCATGTCTTCTCTTTGTGTATTAAATGCTCACCCCATCCCCATTTAGTTTAATAACAAAAAAATTGGTAAGAAAAAAAAGTATCTTCCATTTGCAGTTGCTGATATTTCTCTGTAGATTGTTTGAGGGGCAATTACTGATAACTTAGAAATCTTGAACTCTACTCTTCCAAGTAGCGTATTTGTGTTTTACATAAGCATTATATTAAGACATTTATCATCTGATGGCTAAAAATACATCAGGCTGCTCAGAGACTCACATCCATTTTTAAGCAAAGAGGTGCAATATCTCTACGGTGAATTAAGCAATTAAAAAAATCCCAAACCAACCTTCCCTCATAGGAATGTGAAGGCTTTAATGAAGCGGGGCTGTCCCACCCCAGGCAGGTGAAATGTCCCCTTCCCTGACCCTCCTGAAGCCCAAAGGGGAGAGGCCTTTGCCCAAATTAAACAGAAGACATGGACAGTAACACTACTGCTTCTTTCTAAATGGTGTAAGCCAAGCACACCTATTTACATTACGAGAAGTCGCCGAGTTCCTCTGAAGGTGTCTGTGTCTATTTCTGACCAGAAGGGCTTGCATTAGTTTCCAAATTACTGTGTGCTGTCATCTTGCTCTCTGCTCCGTGCAGCTGAGCTATAGGAATTGAACACATAACGATACGGGTCACAGGGAGGAAATACGTATGTGATGCTCTTCTCCATACACACACAATGTATGTTTATACACTGACCTCTTCATCAGCGCATGCATTAACCTGCCTTTTGTTTGGCTACCTCCAGCCACTCTAAGTTACAAATTACCTCCTAAAATTCAATCACAGAAAATATTTTAAGGACTTCTAATTGTTGAAATTGTTTTTAAGTACTACCCAGCATTACAGAAAGGACATTTACCTTGCTCCAGGACTCCCACAACCGTGACAGTGGCCAGCAGGTCTACCTGATTGTGCATGGTGCTGACTGTGGACCAAAGCGACGGGTACAGCTGCTCCAGTCCTCTCCTGCCCTCCCACTCCTGCAATGCTCTACAACAAAGTCCTCTTATTGCTCTGCAGCAACACGTGTTTCCTCCACCACACCACACATTAACTCTCCCCACGCCACACGATTTCCCGAAGCAGTCCAGCCATCAGAAAGCATCTATTCCAGAAAAGTGCCTTCTGCTGACCTATGGAACAACAAAAGTTTTGTGCATGCAAACTGTGAAATTCTTGCAATTATATTCGCAGCTTTTCTACCATGATTATATATAATGCCAGCAACTGAAAGACGATGGGATTTTTTCCAGCCCTTTTATTGCTATTTTAGTCAGCTCTAAAGCATCTAAATTATGGGCACTCTTATTCCAAGTAGTGTAGTTGACCACATGAAAGATTTTCTAGACTTGAGCTGGAATAACTTAATTCTGGTACTGGATTCCGAATTTTTAAAAGAGCATACAGCTATTTTATCCTATTAATTAATACTGAAAGTTTACCAAATAGAGTATGGTTGTTTTCCAGCACTTGGTCACTTTCTGTAGTTTTCTGGTGGGTTTAAGATTTTGCAGTACAAACCTTTTCCTGGCTAACAGACAAAATAAAAGTTCTCAGTTCTGAATGGAAGGCAGCAAAGGATGTAGAAACATGCAGACCCTCAGAAATGTTACACCACATCAGAATTATTAACTGTTAAATGTAAAGTTTGAAAAACAGCAGTATTTTAGTCCTGAATAACTTTTCTTCCCATGCCACAAAAGCAAAATATGGATCAGGTCAAAAAGTTATAAAGTCACTCCAAAACACAGGGTATGGATAAAAGACTACTCTGACTTTAAAGATTTTAAAACCAAAAAGGAGAACAAACAAACAAACAAAAAAATATATAATTCATTATCAGCTAAGGTTTCCCCTTAATTTTGGTGAAGAGAGGGGACAGGATATGGTCGAGCTATTGCATTTCCGTCTGTATTGTCGCATAGAATAACCTCAGTGCAGAATTTGTGCACAATACCAACAAAAAAGTGACCAGACGTACAGTTTCTCCCAAGGGGGACACCACAAGTGTGTTCTGGTTTGGCTCTTCACCACCTCAAAAACCCATCATGGCAGCTCATCAAGTTGAAAACTTAATTAATTGAAATATAAGATTGTACCCTTTTTTTTTTTTTTTAAAAAAAAAGGCATGTAGAATAGCAAACCCACACCCTTTCTCTGCAAAACACTCGTACGATGTGACTTTACAGCCTCCAAGCTGGTGGCAGGCTCATACTGAAAAAGAAGTAAAACAATTAACCTGAACAGAATCTATTGGTGACCCAAAATTTCATCTGGGGCATCTAATGCAAAAGTCAGAAGGGAAATGTCACCAGGAGTCTAATTCTACTTACACCATTTCAACAACTCAGGCTTTAGAAAACACTTCCATTACAGATTTACATTAGCTTCAGGAAAAACTCTAACATGCATTTAAAAAAAAAAAAAAGTTTCTGAGCAGGAGTTTATTACAAGCTGCCACTGACTCCTTAAAAACTTTGGAAAAACTTACACATCACTTCAAGGGGGGACAGTTTGGGAAATTTCCGTTTTACTCAGCATTAAATACCATGCAGCACTTTTAATGGGGCAATAAAGCAAAAGTTTAGTTTCACAGTTCCCCACAGGCTAGAAGCAGCTCATCCTGGTATTCTTCCTTATTATTACACTTAGTTCTTTATAAGCTTCTTAAGTTATGGGTCCCCTCCTCCCCCAAACACAACTTAAAACTCGCAGAGTAGGAATATACTCAAAATACACTCAGATAAGTCAGGATGCACTTCACAAGAAAACCCAAAGGCTCTGAGCTGGGGCCTTAACACAATAGCTATATACTAAGACACCAACTTCAGGACTTGGAGAATGATCCTGCAACCTTTGAAGCCAATTTAAATTCTTAGTACATAAGGGGATGCTTGAAATTACAGTAACATGTAAAACGAACACAGTTTTAGCAAGAAATGCATGTGTCACACTCTGCAAAGCCTTCTTTATCGCTCCTGCTAAATCTGTGGTTGGAGAGATTAGAGATGTTAGTTTAGAGCTCAAGACTAGATATCATCAGTTAAAGGCACACTTGTCAAACAGGAAATACTACATAAATAACTGAAGTCTTGGGGCTGCTGCAAGTGGCGTGATTCACTGAGAGCTGCTTTGAAATGTTCCATTCAGAGTAATTAGTCAAGTAATAACTTGTTAACAAGAACATATTAAGATCCAAACATGCACCACTAAAGCGAGGCTCCTTTGGGCACGCATGGAGTCACGGATCATTGCTTTACTTTGCTTCTAACTAACAGATGCATGTCCATCTTCAGAGGCTCAACAACCCTGTTTTTCACCAGGGTCTGAAAAACCCATTTTGCCATTATTTTAGAGTCTCTTCAACCCCCCAGATCTAAGCAGTGGCTTAGGGACCTTACCAGCGTTAAGCCACAGTCTTCATGCAATTTGCTGCCAGTATTTTGTTCCTTGTTCAGAAACATTAACTTGCGCTTGCAGTATGTGTTCTTCATTTCACACTCTGGATTTTTTTTGTGTGCCATCTGCCTATATCAAACAAGCATCATCTTTGTCTTTTTACAATCCTCAAGGAAATCAGTTTTAACTTCTAAAGCTTGTTATTTTGAGGGAATCCAAGCGTATTTTTGGAACTCTACAATTTTGCACACGTGAGGTCTCAGTAGTTAACATCTTTTTCACTAGTAACAACCTCTGCAGTCATATTTCCTAGCTTAAGGACTACAACTGCATTAAAAATGAAAAACAGTCCAGAAGCAGTGGGTATAGCATAAAGCCTTGTTTTCGAAAGTGTTCTACGGCCCCTTTATCCAGCTCTGGCCTGTTTAAATGGACTTTCTGAAACCGTAAGAATTGGTAAGACACAGCAGAAGAATTTGAGCCTTAGTAACAGGCCAACCAAAATTGTATGTTGGGATGAAGGGAATCATCTCACTGGGAACCACAATGCCGAACTCTGCTCAGCTCACATAAATGTATAAAAGTCACACCATATATATTTAATAGACTAGCAAAATATTTATTTTATAATGATAAAACAGAGGTGAAGGATTTCTTTTTGGTGTGCACCAGTAATTATAGTAAAAGAATAAGGGGATTAATGGACTCTTTATACATTTCAATGACAAAAATTCATAAAGGTTAGCATCAAATTCAACTGTTCTCCATTTACAAGCATAAAACTTACCATAATACCCCCCAAACACATATATAAAGAATTATAGTTTTAAAATCTATAAAAAGTAAAAAATATACAGTCAGAAGATCTAACTCTTATTCAAATCTTTAATATAAAATTGTAAACATTTATTTACACAAAGGAAATGTGTATAACAAAATTTTGAGCACCCTTTTCAATTGAATCGTGGTTTTTGGAAGGCAGTGGATGTTGCACAGTGACACTCTCACCTTTCCTACCCAACCAAAACCGCAGTTTATAAATAAAGCCATGGGCGGCTGGCTAGGTACAGTTCAGGGGAGATATATTTATTGCTCTGAAGCTGCAGCAAATGGAAAGCCCAAGTGCATATATAGACAGCTGCACGTTCAAGGGCATGAAGGCAAAGCCCAGCCCTACCCATGCACCTATGTACATCTAAACCGTATTTTCATTTCCATTGAACTGTTTCAACTTTGTTACAGTGATACCATATCTCCAACAGTCTGGTCACATCACGTGGACAGGGACCAAAACCAGAAGCCTTTTTCCTATCAGGTTAAATGCTGTTTGGATCCTGTTCACATACGAAGACCAACGGGCATGATAAGCCAGTTTGCCTGGAATCACACCTAATTTTACTTCAACAGTACCATGAAAAGGCCCTGTCATCAAATGTAGATACCTTCCTGAACAAACCCTCTGGTCAAGCAGGGCAATATCCACCTGAGCTTCCAGAAACAGTGGAGGAATGAGTACATCTGCATTTTCCTGGACATTTAGCTGGATTGCCTTTTTGGTAGTAATAACGCAAACAGCAAATGTTCTTTTCCTCTAGTTAAGAAATCACAACTGGATGGATTGTATTTTGACTTATTCAGAACAAAGTCTGTGTGCAAAATCTACTGGAAAACATAGCAGATTTCACCACAACCTAAACAGGGAAGAAAGAAAAGCGGAATCCTACTACCCTGTTTTTTCTCTCAAGTGTTTATAAGGGGGAGAAAAAACTAGTGACATTGAAGGATGTCACTTGAAATTATGAGGTCCCAAGCACCCCCAACAGGAAGGGAAGGCACACTGGTGCAAAGTTAACCCTTAAAAATAAAAATACAGCAAACACTCCTTCTCCTGCCATTGCTAATTTATATCTATACTCTTCTAATGACACTTACCTTGGACCAGTTTTTGGTTTAACTTAATAGCAAACCAAACTCACTAGCTCTTTTCTTAGATTTCCAGTATAACAAAAGTTAGCATCAGTTATTTGCATCTCAACTACTTATTCTAGAAAATATCAGAAGTGTCAACAACCAAAGTCACTAACACCTTCGTCTTCCCATCCAAAGCCAATCTTCATGGTTTTTTTTCAAAAGCTCTACGAGGGATTAAGTCTGCTTCAGGGAAGTTTTATCCACTATTCAACGGTGGGATCCACTGATCAATGCACATCTTTAACCAACAGTTCAACATGATACAATATCAGAGCTGTTCAACAGAGCGTAATTCATCTACACTAGGTCAGCGTGCCGGACAAACCATGTTCCATGCATATTTGGAAAGGGTTAAAGTATTAGTGTTAAAAAGCAGTTTTTAAAAGTGCAAATTGTCTCATAAAGGAGCTGCAGATACAGTAAAATACTTTCCTTCTTCAAAATCAATGTTATCCTTCACTTCCCTTCACCCACTCCGGAAAAAACCCTCTCTCACACACCTCTGCAGTGCAGAAAACTCCTGAAGAAGATAGTCTGTGTGGAAGGAAATTGCTTTTAAATCACAATGCTGGGTTTGATTAGAAAGTTTAACGGAGTTTTGAAAAAAAGTGGATTTAAAAGGGAAGAGGTATTTGTGCATTTAAAACAAAAGCTTTCAACTTTATTTTAATTTTAAAATAAAGGTTAAGGCAAGGTGGTTTGTTGGTGGCTAGGTTGGGTTTTGGGTTTTTTTGGTAGAAAGTAAGGACTTTGGAACACTGACTGTTCCCATTGTGGTTTTCTGTCCTTTCTGGGACTGACCCCAACATATGGGTAAGAGGTCTCCTTGGGCTGAGCTGAAGAACCAGCATCTGCTTCAAGGGATATTAAAGAAGTAAATCCACCAGTCTACAGAAAGATTATGAAACTCGTAACCCAGTATTAAAAAAAAAAAAAAAGTATTTAAAGGGGGAGATTTCCATATCGGAACAACCCTGGAGACTTCCATACTGGAGCAACCCCAATACAAGTATTCTCCCAGGCTGCCTGTGCTATTATTCCTGATAAGGACTTTCCACCTCTCAGCCAAATTATTTTTTCCTCATTTTTATCCTGAATTGACAAAGTCTTGTGCTCATTGCATCACTGCTAACTTTGGGAAATGAACTGATGTCAAAAATTAGTTTTACTTTTTACAACAAAGAAAACTAGATGAGCTGTCATGAAGCAAAGCCTTCATTTAAATACAACTACCTTTGGAAATAAGTTATGAAGAAACAGGTGCAAAGTAAATGGCTTTACAATTCATGTTAAACCTACTATAGTTTAAAAGTTCTCCCATAAGAAATTCCCCCTTTAAACACAGCAAGGTATAAGCCAAGAACTGTGCCTCTCTACAACAGAGTGCAAACTGCAGCTTACAAGACTACAATCTATTAAGACGACTACCTAGACTAACTGGCCAGGTTTTAATACTTTCTTTCATCTATTACCAGCATCTAGAAATATTTACCATGAAACATCACTTGCTTATTGAGAGTACAGGCACATGCTTCAGTGATGGGGAAAAAGAAACAATTCAAAACATTTTGCAAGCGTACTCAGGTGCAATACAGCCTCTTCTGAAATAAAAAGTCAGAAGTTCAATGGACAGTATTATAACAGCATGTCAAGCTATGAACAAATAATCATTGCAAGTAATAGCTGCAGGAGACTAAGCCCTAAACACAATTTGTGCAACTATTTGCCTTTTTTCTGCACTATTTCTGTGGAATTTTGTTTTATTTTTAAATAATTAAAACAATTTAATTTTAGAACACTGCAAGTGAGATTTCTGAAAGGCTGGCTAGGACGCGCACAGTTTTTTTTTGACCTGTTCAAGTGCGCGACTCCTTAGAGACACCAAGATAAAGCGCACTGTTCCTGCAGACCTCCTTGGTGCGCCACTACCGTGTATCAACACTCATTGAGAAGCAGCTCCAGTCCCTTTCCCAACCATTTACCTCTAATGCCTGCAAGACTCCTCAATGCCACAGGTTTTTTGGTCCAAGTGTCGTTTATATTTCATGAAATAATTAAAAAAGTATAATCCCCCACTCCCGGCCCCCTTTTAATGAGTTCCTAACAACTCATCCAAATCATTCATCCACTCCTCTGAAGTCCTGTTTTTCAGCAAAGAGTCTATCAGATCTGTGTCACCAGTTAAGTTCTGAAGTCCATTATTGCCCGACTGGCTGCTGTAGGCAAAAGGCAGCTCTTGACTGGTTGTCCTCACAGGGTACCCTTGACTACAGTGCAGATTACCTCTGTTGGGCATTTGCTGATTTGGATTCTGGTTGAAAGCATTCAGATCTGGAACAGTCTGGTTCATGCCAGGCAAGACTTGCTGTGAGGATACCTGCTGTTGCGTAGGTGGGTTTGTCCGCTGCTGTGCGCCTAAAGATGACGACAACATCTGCCCAGAGACGGCAGCGTTCATAGAGGTCATCGGTCTGCTGGTGCTTAGGCTTACCTGAGGCATTCCTTGGGCAAACTGTTGGTTGGCCATCTTTAGATGAGTTTGCTGCATGTGGAAAGAGGAGCTGGCAGTAAATGGTCCTAAGCCACTGTTTGCTTGCGTCTGGTTATTAATATTAGGGATACCTTGGTGTTGCCAAGATGGATTTTGAGCCCCCATAGCAGCTGGTACTCTTGCCATCTGTGGCTTAGATAAGGTTGGATTCAGTGCACCCTTATTGTGCTGCTGAGAAATACTTGAGTTTGCTAAGGTATTCTGCCCATAGGCAGCAGGAACGGCAGCACCCTGGCCCAAGGTGCCTTGTCTCTGCATCGGTGGCTGTCCATTGGCACTTTGAGTTGCATGCTGGGGAACCATCTGTGTCATACCGGACGCCAAGTTGTATAATCCCCCTCGCTGAATATTTTGCATATTGGTATATTGAGTCACTCCCCGATCCTGCTGACTGGAGCCCGACTGGAGTGGAGGAACAGAACTGTGTCCAGGTCCCATCTGAATCATGTTCTGGGTCTGAGGAAACATCCGCGGACTACTGGAGCTGGACTGTCCTAAATTACTAACCCCAGGCATGGCTGAAGATGACCCTGAAATACAAAAACATACTTTGTACATCAAATACCTCAACCAGAGGTACCTGCTGTTTAGGCTTGTAGACACAATAACCCAGAAAAGAGGTGCAGCTGCATTTTGTATAAACCAACACACAGACAGCAGTACTTTAATTAAAGAGTGTCAACTGCTGCTCCAGTTTGCACCTCCACCTTGATCTCAAACTCAGATATGCCAATGTCCTAAAAAATCTGAAAACCACTTCTAAGAGCCCAGCATCAACAATTTTTTAAAAAATTAAGACTTTAAAAGGCAGGACTCCAGTATTTCTTTGTGAACAAAGGTATACGCACATACTTTGAAGTGTATGCACAATTGCTGGGCTGTTAAAAAATACCACTTACTGCACATACACATTGCCAGTTATTCCATGCATACCCTCTATATCTCATTGTACAACTGTAGGGTTTCCAGTGCTGTGTTTTCACAATTCCAGAAATCTCTTCTATTTTATAGAACTTTCAGAAATTTTGGTCAAGCATCTTTTGGATTTCCACAATGAAATATTCACTAGGTTAATATGCAATGCTGATAACCAAGCAAGATGATTTGAAAAAATTAGTGTTCTCAGCAAACCAAAAAAAGTCCTTTGCCCTTGTAAATTCTTCTTGTAGAAGAAACAGCACCCTACTTAAAGCAAAACAAACAAAAAAGCACTGAAGTGTAATACATATAATTCTTCCCGACTTCTTACAGTCAATTAAGGGAAACCTACCTACACTAGTACTTTCTCTACTTTCAAACCAAAAAGCTGCCGAATTTTTTCATATTTTAAGATGGCTGAGGAAAACGGGCTCTCTACTATTAATTCATTTTCTATTCAAATATAATTTTATTCAAATATATTTAAATATAATTCCAATTATATTGAATTAATTATCAACAAAGCATACCATTAACCCACCAGTGTTACGGGGGGCGGAGGGGAGGGTTACTGGAACAATAAAGAGGTAATACACATACTAGGATTTAAGATGCAAAAAATACAATCATCATAAAGTAAAAATAGTTTTAATAATACTGATGTTCATTATAGCAAAACATACTCTTAACAGGTGTACTCCTGTATCTGTAGAAAAGTAGCAGGAGACAAAAATGTTCCAGTGCAATATTTGAAGGACGCTACTGATCACTGTGCTAGCACAACCCTTTTGTACTGGTATCGAGTTTGTCCAGTTAAGTAACAAAACCCAGTCATAGCCCCACTAGACACTGCATAGTCACCAACACTGTCACAATGAGAGTATCACATTTCTATTTGCATCTTTTCCCCTCAGTATTTATTTCTGTGGGAACACTGAGAGCAAGGAAACAAAAGGAAGAGAATAAGCACTTTTTTGTACTTTAGCTTTATGAAAAAAGACAAGTGGCTTCTCATAGCCCTGTTAAGGAAGGATTTTTTCAGGTAAGGAGATGAGTTTTTACTGTTCTCTATTTCTTCCATATTCATGAAGCTATTCTGGCTTAATGGCAACATCATCTTTTATTTATCAGCATTAGCATACTGAAGACATACCAAGCTGCTTCTCCCACAAAAAAAAAAAAACATGTAGGACACTAAACATGTAATGACGAGAATTCAAATTGCATTCCCTTCTAAAGGCAGCAGGGATAAGAATATTAGAGAACTCTAAACTCATCCTAGTAGATGAGAGAAATAATACATCACTTATTTTCTTTAATGAGGGCCTGTGATAGATACAAGCAGTAGTGATGTTAGGCTTCAGGAAAAAACCTGAATCCTAATATATTAAAAGTTAAGGAGAATTTACAACCTGTAAAGGGAAACAGCAGTATAAAAAGGTCTTTAGAACAATGAAGGTACTTAATTTTACCCATTTCCAAAGCAATATTAGGCATCGGACGCTTAAGTTGTCCCAGATATCTGGGACAGGAGAAGCTGCTAATTTGCAACTGAATCAGAGTATAGGTCTAAAAGTTTTAAGGCACAGTGACATGAGAAGATGTTGTAATAAATTAATTAAAAGCTATCCAATCCAGGAAATTTGAAGACGCCTTGTGTTTTACTCCTGATATTTTTTTCTGCCACTATTTCAACTGCCATATTTACTTACCTGTGAACTGTCCAACCTGTTGCTGGTACGGATTCTGCGGTTGATCCTGATATTGAGGAGGTGGTCGCGTCAGATGCCGCTGTAGCTGTTGCTCTTGCTGCTGCCGCTGTTTTTCCTAGGAAAGGCCAAACACAAGATGATTAGAAAACAAGTCCCTTCCAACTGAAATAGTCTATTCTATCCCTAAGTGAAGCTTTTTCCAAGGAAGCTGACAGCTTAAACGGCCAACAGGCTGCTTTTACAATACAAAACATAGCAGGCACAGCATTTCTGGCTCTTCTTCCACAGATATCTTCAACCAGACTGAAATTCTGAGATAACTAAGCAGTGATACTATGCACAACCACCTACTTATCTAGGGGACACAAATTCCCTTTCAAGAGTACTGCGTTAAAGACATAAAATCCTGTAAAGAAGAGACTAGTGCAATGTAACGAACAGGCAGGTAGACATTACTACCATCCTTTTGAAATGTCTACAACTAAGAAGCTGTTGAGACATGCAGAGGAATGAAGAGGGCAGGCTGCTTGACAGAAAGGACCTGCTACTTGCAGGACCTGTTAGACCTGAAAGAGGCTGACCACAGAAGCCAAGTAGAGATACCACCGTTCTGAGAGAAACCAAGAACTACAGAACCGGGCTTGGGAGAGAGGGAGGG